CTAAGTACAGTGTAAGCTTAACATTTCCAGGTATTTATTACTTCTCACAATGAACACAGTTCTGCCCCAACAATGCCTTAATCTGCTTTTCTCTCCAGAAGGATGGCACAATATTTATTCCAGCATCATCCAAACTCACCATCTACTTCCTCTTAGATGTTGACTCAGAGATGACCCAATCATATAAATTCTGGTCCCTGTGCAACTCTTGTTCACATATACCTAACATGTATCAGCCCCTGTTGCAGTTTTTCACCTTGTGACCTGCTACAAAGTTACAATGTTGCATCCTGATCACTGGAGGAAAGGAGACTGAGGAAATACTTCTTTGTGCCTGCAGCAGACTGATGACATCATCTCAGCCTAGGCAAAGTCACTGACTGGAACCCAAAGATGGCATTTTTTAATGGTAAAAGGTGGAGCTTTTATGAAAATGTATACTGATGCTATATATTCCAATTTTTTTTTCTTGTACTAGTGTTACTAAGAGGTCCAATTTAAAAGAGGTGGATTTATTTAAACAAAAGTTTTTGTGCCTAGAGCTTAGATTTAAGGCTGCCACCAGAACAAGAGTAGAGGGGAAATCTTTCAATAGGAACACTTGTCCTAATGACAACTGTCTAAAGCCTGATACACACGGGGAGTATTTTTTCGTTCAACTAAGCTATTGTGTTCTGCCAGAACACACTGATCAGCGCTCACAGCCATTGGCTGCAAGCACTGGTTGGATGCTGATTTTTCATCATGCCTGTTCAATAAAAGACCAGCTTCTGTCGGACAGGCTGCTGTACACATGGGTCGAATGTTCTGTTGAACTGGCTAATACCGGCCAATATTCGGCATGTGTACCAGCCTTAAGAGCTATTCCTTCTCACTTTGGAGAAGTTTGCTCTCTTTGGAACAGGAAGAGAAGGAACAATTCCCCAAGGGGACACATACAGACAGAAGAAAATATATAGGTTGATGTCTAAAGTGTAGTTTCAGCACCATGTAAACTTACCAGGAACCACTACAGAGTCCCGAGATCCAGAAAAGATGTAGACTTTATCATTGGCGAGGTTTGATACAGGATCAACGAGGGCACTGTTCACATAACTCTGGGTCTTTGAGATGAGGCTATTCACATTGATGCTTGTAGGGAATTTCATGCAGGCGTTGGTTGCAGTCATCATGCTCCCTGACGCGCAGTAATATGGTCCTGTGTTTGAATAAATTGAAGATGTATTACTGTTACAAATTACTTTGCTAAAAATTGTACCAAGATTTTAGGCTTTATTGGTTGAATGCGTAGTTTGTAGTTTAAATAAATACATAAATGAAAAGATCGTGCCACTTTCCTATAATGTTATTCCTCAATCCTTTTATTTAAAGTAGTTATAAAGCTTAAACATTTTTACCTTAATGCATTTCTTGCATTAATGTAAAAAAAAAACCTTTTACTTTCCTGAGCCCTCATTCAATCCAGCAATGTGCCCATCTGCAGCTCTTCTCTCCCCTCACGTCCTGGTCTTGCTGGTTTTGCTGAGGCAGCAGGAGTCAGGGCCACTGTTAGAAATCATGAGGCCCCATACAGCCTACCTGATGGGGCCCCAAACCCCCCCCCCTGACCCCCCCCCCGGGGAGGGAATGAGGTGGGTTAGGGAGGTGAGAAGGGGGGTTGAGAGGAAGAGATGAGAGGGGGGTTAGAGATAGTGGTGGAAGAGATGAGAGAGAGGAGGGGGAAAGGGGGGTGAGAGAGAGGGGGCTGAAAGAGAGAGGGGGGTGAGAGTGAGAGGGGGGTGGGTGAGAGAGAGGGGGATGAGAGAGGGGGATGAGAGAGAGGGGTGAGGTGAGAAAGAGAGGGATGAGAGAGAGAGGGGAAGAGGGAGGGTTGAGAGAGGGGGGTGAGGTTGAGGGATGAGAGAGAGAGGGGGGGGTGAGTGAGAGAAAGGGTGAGAGAGAGAGGGAGATAAGGGGAGGTGAGAGAGATAGTTGGGGTCAGTATGGCTGCTACTCAAACTTCTGGCCTGTCTTGTATGCCCAGTCGGTCAGTATCTAGAGCTGCTGCTGCGTTCGGTATATTTTAATCTGCCGCCTCCATAGCTCCTTTCACAGGAGTGTGTGAAGATCATCCTCCATCGACACACATGAACATATCTGGATTTTCCCAGCTAGGAACACAGCAGAATAAATGGGAGATCAGGGCTGCAGAGCCAGGGCAGTGATCCTGGTGGCCAGTGAGCGGCTGGATTGCAAAGGAGGGGCAGGGCTTTTAATGCATGGCTGTCCCAGTGGGGGCACTCCCTATTCTGTGACACCGGACTCTCCGCTTTCTCCATCCTGTCCTTATGTAAGGGGTCTGTATGTCTGGGAAGTATGGGGGAACCGATTATATGTCACTGATCTAGAAACTGGACTGATAGGACATTGGACTGCTGAGAAGAGTACCGTGAATAGAGGTTGCTCTGTAGGAAAGTTTGATGGAGTATGAACAGTGCTCCACAACAGGTAGAGGTGCAGTGACAGAGCCTCTCATGAAGCCCCCTGACCGATTGGTCAGTCTGCCCCTGTATGGAGCATGCACTTTAAGTTGCTGGCTGGCCGGGCCCCCTTGTTAGCACATACAGTTGTTATTTTACAAAAAATAAAAAAAAAATCCTTTTTTTTGCATTCCTTCATTTACTTCCTGATTTCCATGCCTAGGCAAATGATATCATACATCCCAGGAGTCTTCAGGAGGGGAGGGAGGGTTCTCAGCTCAACCAATTCCTGAGATGAGGACAAATGGATTCCAGGAAGTAACTGCTACATGAATCATGATCATCTGCCTTCATTTAACATGATCACTGCCAGAAATGTCAGGAGGTGTTTATCAAAATGATTTCGCAGCAAAATAAAGCATGAACATATGGATGGATGGAGGAGTTTGTTTTGAATATTAAAAATGAATTATATAGCATTTTTGGTTTGCGGCACTCAGATGCAGTGCAGTTCCACTTTAAGCCAGGTACTCAGTCAAGAGTAACAATAACTTCGTAAGAACATTTTTAAAAATAGATAGAGGCTCATTAAAGTATGTACAGTTGATGTACTGTACTTACTTTCGGCTAGTTTTATTTTTTATATCACAAGAATTTACCCAGGTGAAGAACGTGACTGCAAACTTTGTTGTTTAAATGTCATACCCTCTTTACTTTGAAATGTTTCCTGTAAATTAAAAAATATTTGAAATTTTTTGATGATACGTAGAATACTAAAATCTGGCGCACCTTGGCACTGGCTGCATAGAATTTCTTAGGGTGGGTTTTCTGATGGTAACAACAGTGGCTCACCTCTGAAAAATATATATAGAAAGAGCCACTTTCTACCGTGGTCTCATTTGGAAGCCCATGTGACAGGGTAACAATGCAGGACGACAGCTGGGAAACAGGGACAGAGTGTCACCCCAAAACAGAAAGTATCTGAACAAACACCATCATGGCAGAATCAACATCATTATTTTATTGAACGCTACCAAGGTAACAGTACTGCTAATTGTTTGGTAATTGTTATAACAGGTAACGCTTATCTGAGAGATTCCAAATTTGATTTCTACAATTATGTAATTATTCGATTATTTCTAAAATGATTTCTACAAAATGTTTTGAGAAGAAGAATTAATAATTTCTACATTTTCCAGAAATGTATTTATTGACTTTTTTCATTTTCATCAAAGTGTAAAAATACATTTTTCATTTAAGTAAAAGTTATTTCTACTGTTTATTATATTTTGAGAGCCAATGAAAGCATACCTCCAGCAAAGAGAGCTGCTCCAATGATCTTCCTAGATTGAGCAACATGGAACTGATTGGCCATATATGATCCTGATGATAGTCCAGACACTGAGGTGGCGGAATCCAAATTGTATGAGCCTGCAAAAAATGATTAGTTTGGATACATCGTAAGATCACTAGCCAGGATTAAAGGGAACTTTTACAGCAAAAACAAAACTAATATCAAATGTGAAAATGATAAAATATAAAAACAAAACATATGGGCAGCACAGTGGCTAAATGGTTAGCACTTCCACCTGGCAGTACTAGGGTCGTTGGTTCAAATACCAACCACAGCACCACCTGCCTGGAGTTTGCATGTTCTCCCTGTGCCTGCATAGGTTTCCTCCAGGTTCTCTGGTTTCCTTCCACACTCCAAAAAATTCTGGTAGGTTAATTGGTTCCTGTCTAAATTGGCCCTAATATGTGTATGTATGAATGTAAGTTAGGGAGCTTAAATTGTACACCCCTTGAGGGTTAGGGACTAAGTGAATGTACAATGTGTGTATGTAAAGAGCTGCGTAAATTGATGTTGCTATAGAAGTACCTGAAATAATAAACACAATATCTCCCTGAATCTGAACATCAGCATCTTAGTGCAATAATTTTATTCAAATGCATGTTTAATACAATAGGATAGATTATGACTGCTGGTTACTTCTAGGAACTCTTGCAGCATGGTCTTTACCTGCCTGATATGGCTCAGTTCTTGTCCACCTTGGACTCTTGGGTAGTCCCACCTACCTTGAGGTGTTTCCACACCTTCATTAAAATAAGTAAAAATGAGGGAAAAAGTAACGTGGAAGTGGCCAAGAAAGGTGTGCAGACATTTGAAGGCAGAGACTCATAAGGGGATTTCCCAAGAGACCATAAGGTAAGGTTGAGTCCTAAGGTTCTACCAAAAACCTAAAATATCAGGTTTTTTTTGTTTACAAACTTTTATTGAGTTGTACAAAAATTAAAAACAGTACAAAAGTACAGAAAGTAACAAAATACAGTATATAAAATAACATAGAAAAATAATAAGGTCAATGAAGCCATCAAACCCCATTAATAAAAGACAAGGGGTATATTAATTCCATATTAGAATGACCTGGAAATAAAATATACACTATATGACATAAGTATTGGGATACCCCTCCAAATCATTGGATTCAGGTGTTCCAATCACCTCCATGGCCACAGGTGTATAAAATCAAGCCCCTAGGCATGCAGACTGCTTCTACAAACATTTGTGAAAGAATGGGTCACTCTCAGGAGCTCAGTGATTTCAAGCGTAGAACCGTGATAGGTTGTCACCTGTGCAATAAGTCCATCCGTGACATTTCCTTGCTACTAAATATTCCACGGTCAACTGTCAGTAGCATTATAACAAAGTGGAAGCAACTGGGAACAACAGCAACTCAGTCACGAAGTGGTAGATCATGTAAAATGACAGAGCGGGGTCAGCGCATGCTGAAGCACACAGTCTGCAGAAGTCACCAACTGTCTGCAGAGTCAATAGCTAAAGACCTCCAAACTTTGTGTGGCTTTCAGATTAGCACAACAGCAGTGTGTAGAGAGCTTCATGGAATGGGTTTCCATGGCCAAGCAACTGCATCCAAGCCTTACATCACCAAGTGCATTGAAAAGCGTCGGATGCCATGGTATAAAGCACGCCGCCACTGGACTCTAGAGCAGTGGAGACATGTTCTCTGGAGTGACAAATCACGCTTCTCTGTCTAGCAATCCAATGGACATGTCTGGGTTTGGTAGCTACCAGGAGAACAGTACTTGCTTGACTGCATTGTGCCACGTGTAAAGTTTGGTGGAGGGGGGATTAGCATACCAAGACATTTTGTAAAATTGCATGCTCCCAACTTTGTGGGAACAGTTTGGGGATGGCCCCTTCCTTTTCCCATCATGGCTGTGCACCAGTGCACAAAGCAAGGTCCATGAATGAGCGAATTTAGGGTGCAGGAACTTGACTGGCCTGCACAGAGTCCTAACCTCAACCCAATAGAACACCTTTGGGATGAATTAGAATGGAGACTGCGAGCCAGGCCTTCTCGTCCGACATCAGTGCCTGACCTCACAAATGCACTTCTGAAAGAATGGTCAAACATTCCCATAGACACACTCCTAAACCTTGTGGATAGCCTTAGAACAAAAGTTATACCGCTCAGGCAAACAATCCAGATCAATCCACAACAAGTGCAGGCTCTGGCTCGCCACCACACACGATGCAATAGGAAGAAGAGTCAGCTGCACACTGGAGGATAGATGAATATAGTGTGTATTTATTGATCCATAGGACACACAAACACTAGGACATGAATACAGGACTTGTTAACGCATTTCACAGGATCTCGTGCTTAATCATAACCAAGGTGATTAAGCACGAGATCGTGTGAAACGCGTTAACAAGTCCTATATTCATGATCTGGTGTTTTGTGTGTCCTATGGATCAATAAATACACACTATATTCATCTATCCTCCGATGTGCGGCTGACCCTTCTCTTCCTATTGCATTGTGGATAGCCTTCCCAGAAGAGTTGAAGCTGTTTAGCTGCAAAGGGTGGGCCAACTCAATATTGAACCCTACGGACTAAGACTGGGATGCCATTAAAGTTCATGCGTGTGTAAAGGCAGGTGTCCCAATACTTTTGGCAATATAGTGTATATGCCAACATATAAAGTGACAATGTAAAATAGGGTGGTGCATGATTAGATACATAAAGATAAGTAATAAATTAAATTTAAAAAAAAACTGCTTAAGGAAAGAGATGTCTATGGTCAAACCAGGAATTCCATTTATTATCAAAGTATGCCATTGAGTTATGTAATGTATGAAAGATCCTCTCCCTAAGCCTAATAGACTCTGTTCTAATTTTAACCTGTGGGATTGGGATCATCTGTAGAGATTTCCAATGAAGCGCTATAACCCATTGAATAACTACACAGATAATGTGGATAAGTCTCTCCAGAAAGTGGGGTATATGTGGGATAGGGGTGAAAAGTAAACAATTAGCCTTTGTTAGTTTGATAAACCTGTCCAAAATATCAGTTTTTTGATTGACTGATTCCTTAAAAAACAGGCAAAGGGTTGAGAAAGTAATATTTTGCTGTTACCCTCTTCAGCATCATATAATCTGATATACTTACGTATTAAACTCAATAAAACCTACAGGTAACTAACAGTGTTTTAATGCTATAATAATTGATATCTGAAGGACTAAACACATTCACCATGTTGTTCTCTGCCCAGGGGTGGACTGACAACTCATGGGGCCCCCGGGCAATAGGGGATCATGGGGCCCCTGTGTCCTTGCCCAAATTCAAAAAAGCCTATGAAAAAGGTACTAGGGGCATCTCATGGGGCCCCCTACTGACCCCGGGCCCTCGGGCAGTGCCCGAGTTTCCAAATGGTCAGTCCGCCCCTGTCTCTGCCACATTATAATAAATATATCTTATAATATCTTACCAAGACGTGTCTGTCCATGGACAAAGCCAACAAAGGCGAGGAACAAGATGTAGCCACTCATTTTCGCTGAGGCAGCCTTTCAGTGGTATGAGGAGAATGTCCTGCCTCACTTATTAAACCCTAGGTTTTTATACAACAGTAAAAACAAGTTTTAATCTTGAACAAACAAGATGTTTTGTAGCAATGTGAACAACATCTGCTAAACAGCCATGACATTAGATAAGTACTGAGTATGGAGGCAAGATTTAGCAAAGTAAAGAAACAACAAAGATTCCGCTCAAGCATGGGTTTTTTATGGCAGGTGCTTCAAATATTCCAGTTGAAAATGAAGAAACCTTGGAATTATTTTCTAATGAAGGTGGCAAGCCAACTAGAAGCTCTGGATAGACTGTTCACTAGTTATATCTGCTTCAATATAATGTAAAATACATATGTTCTTTTTGAAAGTCGGGGTTTAGTTGGTATCCTTTGTAGTCTCTTTCAACCTATTGTGTCTCCAAGTGTATTTTACTCCATTGTATTTCACTTCAAAACTTTTGGTACGTGCAAGAAAAAAAAAAGTTATAAAATAGAAATGATTATATTTATGCCATTGAATAAGTTTTCTTCTATCATTTGCAAAGTCCATTTTACCTGTTCTCTGCCCACACACTATACATCAATTCATAATAGTAACTGCATAGCCTTGAGTCTAAAGATTGAAAAATGCAAATATAAACCTGAGATCTAACTTTATCAGTGGCTAAAATTTTCTTTATGTCACTTCCTTCCTGCTTTGGGTCACAGATATACTTTCTTTGATTATAAATTAACTAGTACCGCCCACCCTCAGTTAGATAATCATCTGAGAATTAGAATCCTTGAAAGAAATATTTCAAAGCAATACAAAAGAGATAACTGTACTTCACAAAAACACCAACTTGTTACCATGAGAGACCACTGGAAAAAGAAAACAAAATGTAGATCCATTCTGCAATTTTTCACATTAAACTGTTCAGTACCGCCAAACGTATAAATATACAGCCTTGTATTGAAGCATTTAAAGGGGGATCGTGACTGCAGCTACAGTCATGATCCCAATTCTGCACACTGTAAAAAAGCTATACAATACCCCAGGACACTGATCTTTGTTGTTCCTGGCATCGGCCACTGATGTTGTTCCTTCCACTGTGTGACATCAGAAACCAGAAGCAGTGAGGATTTCATCACTTCCTATTTCAGTTTGGAGCTAGGAGCAGTTATACAGAGTAGAAGATATATTTCTGCATGAAGTTTGCAACAATCTGTGTTAACTTTCAGAGCACCTGAGAGTCCTTAGCCCTTAAAGGGCTTTTGCTACTGATCCGTAAAGACTGATTTAGTTCAAGGAGAAGAACAGTCCTGGGTCTTTTTCTGTAAAAAGGAAGGAAGTTGTCCCCGTGCATTGATTCAGTCAAGCTGGGCATCCCATAATCACTATTACCCCATCCAAGTTATTTTGCTTAATAAAATAACAAAAACCAAGTTCATGGAATGTTCACTGACTGTAGATGCAAGTGTGGAAAATGCGTGTTGCCTGGCCGTGCAAAGCTTAGGGGCACCCAGAAACACAGCGACCCTCAAGGAAGCGCTACATGTACAACAGTGAAAGACTGAAGGGAAGGCTGGAGTTCATCTTTTTTAGTCCAAAGCTGACCATACACTAATAAATTTTCAAGTAAACATTTGTGTGAACATTCATACAAAAATTCTCATTATATCCAATGATTTGATGAAAGTACTGCAAAATATCCTTTGCTTTTAACATTTCATTTTGGAATGATAGACTTATCAAATGAAAACCACATACACTGTTAAGCTGACCATACATGGATCAAAATTTGTACTGTTCAGCAGGGATTGGCTGAATTTCGATCTGTGTATGTCCCTCGTGGTTAAACAGAAGTCAGTCTACCAATTGGCTTCTGATCAACCTTTCTGATGAAAATTTCTGCTCAATCAATGCTGCAACCTGCAGCACTGATGTGTGTGTTTTGATGGCAGGAAAGTCTTCCCGCTGTCAGAATACAAAAGTGCAGCAAGGAGGATTCTCCTATCCACCTCGAGCGTGTGGACAGGGGAATTGGGTCAGTTTTTTTAATTCAACCCGCTGGTTAAACAAAAAAACGTAGTCATCTATAGCCAGCTTTAGAAATTTGTTCATAAAAATTCCATCCTGCTCCTTCGAATCTACTCATTACCACAGTGCAAACGACCATCAAACTTCTAAACAAAACAAAATTCTTCTTTTGTCATCTGTGTACCATTCGATCTGTGTACCATACCTGTCCTGTAGAAGAAAAAAAAAACAGACTGTTGTCACAAGAACAAGTGTCCCCTATTGAAAAATTATCCCTCACTTCCTGTACTGTGACAACTGAAAATTTTAGGTTTTCCCTCACTTTGATTCCTAGTGACAATGGTACCTAATGGTAAACAGAAAGGGTGAATATCCCTTACTGCTGTCTTTCCATGTTTCCATTGATTATCCCCAGAATGTCCAATAACACCCCCCCCCCATTATCCCCCTTAGTCACAAATACTGTACTGGCATCCAATGACCCGGCCAGTACAGTATTTGTGACTAAGGGGGGATAATGGGGGGGGATCATTGGATCTATTCCAAAACTGACCTTATTTGTTTGACTCAATTAACTACATTCAAGTTTTAACTCCTGTTGCAGTAAAGACCGTTGTGAAGAATGCTATAAATTATAGAGGCATAAGACATGAAAACATGTTTGTTGCTATACAAATAGCAAAAACACAATATCAAACCATGGCCAAATACTGGTCGGTGATCATCACCTTAGACCTCTCAGGGACTTCATCAATAAGCTCTTCCTTCTAAGACCCCAGTGGCCTTCCATCCAGGCCTTGTCAAGAGAGGGGGTCACACTGCCACTGCTTGTGACACCGTAATGGGCCCAACAAAGTGTTCAGTGATAATGGGGGGGATCTCACTAATGAAATGTTCAAGAGCTAGAAGTTGGTTCCATCCATGCAATAATCATCCAATTTTGTTTTAGTGGAATTAATATTTAAAATGTTATGAGATGTTATGGGGGTTTTTGCTATGTGGCAGTTCTTCCCAGTGAGTTCAGTCAACTCCAGAAATGCTGTTTAAGGGCTTGCTGGCCCACTTTTATTTACATAATGGAAAAGGTTCACACAGGAAAAACAATTTCCCAC